AAGAGAGACGCACGGCACGGTGTCACCGCGACATTGGACGTATTCACCTGTCCTGTAGGTCGAACAAACCCACCCGCAATGTATACTGACGTGCAAGGTACTGCTTCGGCAACGAAGGTACGATCTCTTTGCCTTTGGCTCTTCTACCTTTTAAAGCGCGTATGGTCAGGTTGCCGTCTTTCAGAAATTCGCGTGTCCTCGCCAGCAAGCAAGAGCATCTGTCTAGGAAGACGGGATTCCCTGGCCCGGGGTAGAAGCCGAATTTTCGGTGCCCACATGAGCTTCTTTTTCATTTCTTTGCCATGTTCTTAATCGCTTTACAGGTGCAGCAGCCCTACCTGGCCTTTGTTTAGTTGTGCTTTATACCTCATCTCTTCGTTGGAATTCCCGGTGCGTTGTTCGTATCTCTGAAATGATGATCATACCTATGCTTTCTTTTAACAGGCGCTCACTTTCCATCGACAAGCAAATTCATGCATGAAACAGCGCGCGTAAATCTCCGGGGACCACGGTATGAGGTTTAGGCTTTCGGTGATTATACGCGAAATGATGACGTTGGATCAGATCCACCTTGCCTGACCCACATTTGCTTTTTCACCTCCTTTCTCACGTGTGAGTACTGCTCAAATTCTCGGTTATACATGCTGCTTACTCATTGGGATTATCAAAGCTTCTTCTGATCACCTTGAAAAGACATTTCATCCTGCGCTCGCTCACGAAATATGGCCTCCCAGTTCAAGCTTAGTTTTAGTCAGCATCCCGACATTTATGTATCGGTCGGCTGCTGTGAACTAATATTTTGGTATTTAGTAACTATTGGCTCTTGCCTCCTCTGTATTTCCAGAAACACTGATGTCGTCCTACCGTCAGGGTTTCTATGATCATCTTTCTGTGCTTGCATAGGCTAACGGCACTCGAGTCACGTTATTAGCCAATAGCACAACTACGCAATACAGAAGCGCCACAAAGACTCCGATTTGATGATATATTTGCATCTGACCCCTTATAAAACGACGAACTGTAGACCACTCATTGCCCTTCATTGATCATCATGGCACCCAGAACTCGTGAACAATGGATCGCAGACCAGACCAGACCAATGCCCGCCGTCGTCACCGCCGACCTGACTGGGAAGACGCTCGTCCTTATTGGTGCCAACGCCGGACTGGGGTTCGAAGCAGCGAAACATTTCGCTAGGATGAACCCTGCGCGATTGGTGTTGACGGCAAGGGATGAAGTGAAGGGAAAGGAGGCACTCACCCGTACATTCTTGCGCTTATCAGATCTGACGATGTCGGCTGATCTTTGTCATCACAGGCATTCAGCAAGACACTGGCTATTCCAAGGCGGAGCTATGGATCATCGATGTCGCCAATTTCAAGAGCGTCATCACGTTTGCTGATAAAGCTGAACGTGAACTGGACCGATTGGATATCCTCGTAGAGAACGCTGGTATGGCTACTTGGGAGTACGGACAAGTGGAAGGTTGGGAGAGAACGTACGTGGGGTCCATCTATGAGTGAATAAAGGCTCACTGTTCTCCTAGCTTGCATACGAACAACCTCGGTCCCGGTTTATTGGCGATCCGGATGATCCCAAAGATGCTGGAGACAGCTCGCAAGCACTCGGTCATCCCGAGATTGGTCATTGTCGCGAGCGATGTGCACTACTGGACAAAGATTGAAAAGGACGTCATTGCGTCTCCGAGGATCCTCGCGAAGTTGTCAGACAAGCAGTACTGTACAAAAGAGTGCGTTTGATCTCTTTCTAGTACTTCGTATGTTGACTTTAAACAGGGTTATGGATCGCCGATACTATGACTCAAAATGCTCGTAACATTTTGTTTGATCGTCATACCGACTGACCTCATATCTTCGTAGTGCTCAACGTCCTCTTTGCCCGATCCCTGCAGCTCCACGTCCCATCTTCACCAGCAATCACCGTCAACTCCGTCAATCCCGGCTTCTGTTTCTCGGGTCTCCGAACTGGGATCCGTGCCGAAGAGGCCAAAGCTATGCGGAAAGAGGAAGAAGAACTTTGCTTCACGACCGAAGAAGGGAGCCGTCAGCTGGTGTACGGTGCTGTTGGGTCACTGGATGACGAGGAGAAGCTTCGCGGAAAGTTCATCCAGATGTCTGAGGTCGTGGAGGAGAGCGATTTCGTGATCAGCGAGGATGGGAAGATCGTGCAGGATAAAGTCTGGGTGAGTCGTTTTTTTCCTGTGCTGACGAAGGAGTAGTTTGCTGAATTCTTGTGTATAGGAGGAGATGTTGGACATTTTGGGTAATATCGATCCTAAGGTCTTGGAGGTTGCAAACACGTATCTACAGAAGACTTGATTGATATTTGCTAGATTGAACGCCCGCGTGTACAGATTATATCGCAGTACGAGTATCGAAACTTTGAAAAATCATCCTCATAACTCCTTATATTTGTGGCCTGCAGGCTAACACACATTACAATCTGATCACAGACATTACGTCATTTTCAACCGCCGCCCTCCCACAATGCTCTTCCTGTGTCTCTGCCGTAGGTGTACACGCCGCTTCGGATCCAAGGCGGTAGGACAGTGGCTCGAAGCCGCTAGGTGTACGTACCACTTCTCAGTACCTGCTGGCGACTCATGATATTCCATTGGATGAAGAGATTCGCAGCGAATGTCTGCAGAGGGTTTGCAAAGATTGGCATTACTCTTTCACTTCCTCGTCTCTGGTCTACTGTAAATCTCAACATGCAAGGGGAGGATGGGTCAGCAATTCGCGGCATATGAAAGCATTGGAACTGTAGCTCGAACGCTCCGGTATATGCTTGTTATTCATGACAATAAAAGGTACCAAAACCCTCACATGTTCCAATACTCTAGCGCTCCTCACCTCCTCGTCGCCGCGCTAGAAGAAACTAATAACCACGATAACCTTCAATCGTTGGGATATTTCTACGGTCTTACCATCATCGATGCTTATCGTATGGAAGAACCCCCTGCTTTTGAATCCATCAGCCTCCGTGACCCTCGGATGCTTAAAAAGGTTGTGGGCTCGCCGCGTATCTTGAACCATACATCTCTGGCATCTGCACATGCCTGAAATCACGGTAGCCGAGGACATAAGAGCGCCTACGACCAGTGAGGAGCTTATTTCCATTCTCCGTCGACTGCCCTTTCTCGAGCGATTTTCGTTGCCCTGCCTGCCAGCAATAGCGAGTGGAGACCTTGGATAAATCAATGTGATGATGGCTCATCTTCAACATCTATCGCTTCCAACATCATCTACCATTCTTGCTGGTCTCATGTTACCGGCGCTCACGACCTTGAATCTGAGAGGTATTTTTGTCGATACTGTCATCTCGCATATTCATCGCTCTCGGTCAACGATTCCGGAGACACCCCTCTCCTCGGATGACATTGTTGAGGTGGATTGCGCCCGGCTGCTCAGCGAACTCTCGGCTCTTGAGGTTGCCGCAGTATTCATAGAATACGCTCATACGCCAACGTTCATTAAGGGACTGTTCGAGGCGTCGGATCGTTTCACGGCACTACACATCCTCACGTTAAAGGGAATAGGAGCTGTTGATTGTTGATACAGCCCGTTTTGTTCCTGTCAAAGATGCACACCCTGGTATTGTTATAAATTTTAGTGTCTTTCTTGATAGCACAGTGGCTAGATGCGAATGGCTACACATCGACCTTATCTGCCACCACAATTTCCGTCTATCACTACCAAATGGCTTCTGTACCTCAGATTTACAAGGAATGAAGTTGGAGAAAGGAAATCCTCGCGAATGATTACCCAGGCCCGCTAATCAAACTGGGGCAGAGTGGGTGTTTTGTTATTGGTACGTCGCGATTATTGCTCGACTTCTTCAATCATTCCTTATTGCCCATCTGTTGACTACAGGCTTGCAGCAGGAGAATTGTACCCAGTGTAATCATCACGGCTTATTCCTCTGCTGCTCCCTAAGCTCATGCCACAACGAAGGCCATGGACGAAGGAAGTCTTGACATGCCTCATATCGATGGAGAGGGCCAATGATGCTGGACCAAATGGCGATGATGTGGCCCGCGGCTTTGTACAGGTTTGCTGTGTAGCGCTTTTCACTGGAACCATGATCAGGAGATGGGCAGAGCTCCCATTTACTCCCAGTATCTGCATTCTGTCCATCTTTCTACTGTACACTTCACGTCACATTTCGCACCAGGATGTCATTCAGTTTCTCCTTGATATTTGATCTCTGAACGCTCAGTTTTGCTTGCTGCAGGTCCTATTGCGACTCCACGAAGAAATGAAGCCGAGAGAAGTTAAATAATGTGGATAGAGGAAGGATAGGCCCTAAATATCGTTGATTTCTCCAAGAGCTCCCTAGAATGAGAAAACTAGGCATGTTGAAATTCCCTGGGTTATTTTTGTCTGTTATATAATTCTATTCATTAAAGGTGGAGCATGTCCGTATTCTTCATCGGATAAATCTCTCAACCATGCTTACACTCTTTTGGACGTTTCCTCCACTCATTTGTGTGAGGATGAACTGTCAAAACCTGCGAGGTGCTGACGAATAAGCTTCTTTGAATGAGGCTACAAGTCCACTAGCCACGCGTTTTAGATTGAGACAGATCTTCCAATCGTTCTTATTTTTGACAATGGGAGCCTGGATGCATGCTGCCAATACGTATCGCATCGTGTCTCTGTACAGGCTAATCAATGATGGGAAGTTGGATACCGGAGCGACTTCCCTTCGTCCTGCCACAAACAACGTGTTAGCTAGCCTCCACCATCGCCTCTTTACTTCTCGTCGACGATCGCTTTGGCTCCCAATCCGGTCTTCCTCCCTTGCATCATCCCCTTATAGATGATATGTCCCACTCATGTCCAAATTGCAATATGGTATGTGGAGGATCCTCCTTCACCCCAGGTCCTGATATCATGGCCCTTTTGCATACCAATTGACCTCCGTCAGCATCAGAGGAGGCTATATTCAGAGATATCCGAAAGATGGGATCTGGCATGCTTTTAGAGCTTGATTCCTCGATATCAGAGCTGCAGATGGAATTGAAATCCCTCATCCACACACGCAGTGAGCTTCAGTGGAGTATGGAGCACTCAACCGAGATCCTTAATCCCGTCCGTCGTCTTCCTGAAGACATGTTACACGAGATTTTCACATATTGCCTTTCCAACCTGACACCGAGTCGTACTTCCTTCCATTGTGCAAATTCACCCCCATGGATCCTTGGCATGGTGTACAGGATGTGGGGGCAGACTATGCTATTGTTTCCACAGCTATGGACGCATGTGCACTTCGATATGTGTATTGTGCCCAACCCCATTCGTATCCAAAAGCGACTGTCAAAGAGATCACCTACTGACTGTGTTGTTTCACATGAGTGCTTGCTGAAGAATCTCCATCTTCAACTGCAGCGCTCGGCCGGCCTTCCCCTTGATATCTCATTCTTTCACGATATAGATGTGCCAAATGAAGGAGCCTCATACCTTTGGCCTCTCATTGCCTCTTCCTACCGATGGAAGCAGTTGTCAACCAGTGTGTCAGGGCTCACGTTGGAACCATTCTTATTTATTCAGAATTCCATCCCTGCACTCGAAACCTTGGAGATAGTTGAAGGGCTGACAACACCTTCCCATCTGGTCCAACTTTTATCTGCTACCAATCTTTGAAATCTCATCATCAATAATGTTCATCATCCGGGTTGGCTGGACCTGCAGCTCCAATGGGTGCAGCTGACTACTTTGACACTGAAAGGTGTTATAACTGATTCAAATGCACTGCAGACAGTGCAAGTTCTCCTTCAGATGTCATCGCTAAAATGGTTGACATTCACATCACCAGTCATTCCTTGGCAAGTTCACCAGCATACACATGCGGCTCCCATCGTTTTTCCCAAAATTGCATCCCTATCCTGCATCATAGGATATTCGGAGATGATGCTTAGCTCCAAGCCTCTTGACAGCATATTGTCATTCCTCGTCTTACCATCATTAAACCATCTGAATATATCATATGTGGATGTTCACCCTGCAACAGTTGCAAGCCTGAGTGACAGTGTAGTTCCCATGTTGCAACGGTCAATCTGTGCTCTGAAGACACTCAAGCTCTCATGGGGCTCAATGATCTCTGATCCATTGTGCCTACTCCGATGTGACACCTGTTCATCAGTGGAGGCCATCTCTATCTTTAGGTTCCCATTCACCCATATTCGAGATATCCTTTCACATCCTTACACTGCGCCTTTCCTCCCTGGACTGCACTCCATCGAGATAGATATGTCTTCTTTGAGTCTTGCCACTGGCAAATACGAGTTACTTGAGAATTGCATTCTACTCTTTTTGGAGTCCCATGAAGCAGGCAGGGTTGGTTTACACTGTTGGGATAGCAATCCCGAGCGAGTACGAGAATGTACTCGAAGATATGATGTCAGTCAGTGGCAGCTGACTTGGATTGTGATCTGGACTTCTTTAGTATCTTGTAGAAAGATCTCGAAGTAATACGAAATGTATTTAAGTAGAACGTTTCTCTCTCAAGAAGCTAATTCTAATCCTCTGTACATTACTCTGCTCTCTACTTACAACATACACCATTTGCATATGCATGTTCAAATGGAATACATCATGTCAGAATCCTTCAAAAGTCATCTCATTGATTTCTGCAGGTGGGGTCTCCACTTTTACACATCTCAGTATGATCAGATTCCAGGCCATTTTAACACTATGGATTATGGATACTATGGTAGGGTTTCAGTGAGTGTATGGTAGCAACTGTAGCCACTGAGTTTGTGTTTATAAATGCCTATCAAATTTCTTTGTCCACTTTAAATAATGGCCTTAAAATTATTTCCAAAACAAAATCAATTTAAGATATAGTGGGCAAAGCTGATGTCACACAGGCAGACCACCATGACTTGACAGTACAACTGTCTATATCAACTATTGACTGAAATTAGACCCCCTTCTTCTTCTGACTGTGCTCAGTGGGGTCAGGAGCCTTGTTCAGGTCATGTGCACTGTAGAGCAGGAGTTCAAGACATGGCCATAGTCTTCTTTTCTTTTTTTTTTTTGTAGGAATATTTTTGGGCCTGGAGCAGTGAGCCATGCTTACCCCATTGGCCCATGTTAAATGGGGTTTCCACCTTTGAGTTCCACCACTGATGAAATGCTTTATGCATGCCCTTCATAACAGTGTGAGACTCAAGCCTCCTTATGTGTGCCATCCTGTTATGATTTTTCTATCTTTTCTATTTCTTTTCATGAATTAACCCCTATTTATGCTTAGTCAGAGAGCCTAGAGCCTAGTGCTTAAGACTGTGGGATAAGCTTAGTTAGCACAACAAGCCTGTTCAGTCATTGTCTTTTGACACAACACAGTGAAGAGGATCTGAGTGTGTGCAAGGTGAAAATGGATACAGCAGAGTGCTATCCACTGACCACACTCACACCAACACACACACAAAACTCTTAGTTCATGGGAGGATTATAATGTGATAAAAGTAGTAATCAACAATTATAATTGTCTTCTTCAATGAATCCACAGTGCATGAACAGCAATAGCACATATACAGCAGTCCTAGATCTCTCTAAGTCTCAAAGCTTTTTGTTTTATCAAAACAAGAGGTGGCAACAGATGTTGCTGGGCCTCAAGGCAAAGGGTATTGCAGCTCAATATAATATGTTGAGATATTCCCACAAACTCTCAAAAGATCCTAAGCACAGCTCAGATTGCCTCAAAATCCCTAACACACACAATACATGACTCAAAGATTTGTGCTCTAAGCAAAAACCAATCACAAACACCTCTACAAGTGCCAAAGAGCACAGATCTCTGTTCACAAGTTTCCAAACTGATTGTAGACCCACAGGATTCAAATCTATGTGATCTAGAGACACAAAACACAGTAAAACACCATCCAACAGACCAAAGGGTTTGAACCTCTGCCATCTGTAGCACTGCACATCACAAATACCTCAAGAACTCAAGATGATGCCCTTCAGACACCACCCTCTTATTCTCAGGTTAGAGCACAATCCAAAACCTCTTATCAAACTGGGCTCAAGTCCTTTGCAAGCTTCAATACCTTGCTTTAGTTCTCAAAGCTCTCTCAAGGATATTCAATAATATGTTTATTCTTTCACCCAAAGTTACAAACACAAACCCAGAGCTAGAGTGCAAGGCTTTCTGTGCCCAATACACTGCAACTGTGGGGGTTGGAAAACTTCCTCTTCTACCCATACAATGTGGTATTTAAATACTCTACTATAATATCTTCAAAGCATGGGACTCTGTGCCAGATCCCATGAGTATTATTTGCATGCATATTGCAGTTACCATGCTTATTCTCTTCTGGGTCAGGACTGTGCAATGTTTCCTCACTAGATGGCCTCAGCTAGCTGGCCTAGCCCAGTCTGCTTGCTTTTTTATTGCCTTGATGACACATCTCTGACAGTGGTAAACTGTTTTGGACCCCTGGAGTTATCTCCCATATCTGGAGTCAGCCACAATAGTTATGTTCTCTTTTTCAGTGTCTCAACATTCCCTCTGGCTCATAAAATACACTGCTTCTGGCCTGACATGCATTAATTAACTTACCCAATATGGTATGTGTCATACTGCAGTATTGCTGTGCTAAGCATGCTCTGAGGGTAGTATTCCTCTATCTATTTCTTTGTTGCCATCATGTCATTTCTCTATTCAGCACTCAGTTATTCAGATACCTTTCTTTGGGTCTCAGTTCCCTGTTCTAAAGCATGTTCCATCAGTGCATCATTGATCAATGTGATCAGGATTGCTGATCATATTTTGATCATATTCTTTTTATTTTTAGCATGCCTTCTTGTAATAGTATTGGCGCATTTAAGGCCAAGTGCTGGGACCTCACATGCATTCTAACCTCCCTGGTATTAGTCTCCTACTAGACCATGCACTCTGCTTCTTGTTACTTCAGTTTAGCCTTATGATGGCTAGGTTTCTGTGCACTCTTATTCTATTCTCAGTTACATGCTTACTGGACTGAAATGCAGTCCATGTATTCTCAATTTTTGCAATTTTACATGCCTGAACATGGAGAGGGCATGTCATATCCCCCCCACTAAGATCTGGACCTTCCATGGACTCTTCAGTAGGTCTCCATGTCGGTATTTTAAATATTATAGTGCTAAATTCACTGTTTTCTGTTAATGACACAACCCATCAACAACAGGACATCCTCTGGTCCACACAGGACTGGATCCTGAGCTTTCTCGACACTGGGACATCAAACCGAGTTGCCCATATATGTACTAGCTTGCCTTGCTATGATGACTTTTGTACCTTCCCTTTGTTACGATTTCTTACTATTTTCTTTCTTTTAGCCCCTATTCATGCTTAGTCACGGCACTAAGACAAGCACTTAGGACCGTAGGGATAAAGCTTGGTCAGCACAAGCCAAATCTGCCATTGTCCTTCGACGTGGAGACAGCGCTTGACAATGCACAACGAACCTTTTATGTACGATAGCGACGCCCTAGGACAATGGGCACAAAGGACACGACAACACACAATAAGTAATCATACATATTTAGATACGATCCAGTAGTATTTAAGGAGAACGGCTCTCGCTGGTAACCCCCAGCTTCGAGCTAAAGTTTATACACACCATTCTACCTCGAGTCAACGTCTGACCTTGTGTCGCATCAGAACGAGTACATTCTTGTGAACTCAGGTGATTCCTCGAAGTGCGAAGGAACATCTGTTTATCACATGTATTAGTTCACATGACGCTTGGGCTTAACAATTAGCTCGAAGCTTCTGCCTTCCCTTTCTCAAGCCCAATTGTGCTGAGAGACCGAATGCCACCAGTAACAACTGCCGACCTAAACCACGACTTCTTCGAGCTCATCGCTTCCATCATCAGAACTTTGCTCGGACTTTTAGCCATCATCACCCTCTGCCGAGGACGACAATCAGTAGCAGCTTGGATAGTCAGGCACTATCAAGCATTCCAGCACATCCAACAGATCCTATGCAATGTAACCCCCGACCTCCCTTTCCATGACATCCCCCCCTCCACCAGAACGTCCTTCTTCCCGCAAGGAGGACCCATACCAGAAGCCGGGAATAGCGACCCGGATCCGGGGAGCCTTCTCGAGGAGGAAGGACCCCAACGCCCAGCCAGATGAGACAACAGAAACTATCACCCTGCTCTCACAGGGTTCCAGAACCTGTGGACGACGAACGTCACTCAGGAGCCTGCAGAGGTCTCCAACTACGTCACTCCAGCAGGCTCCCCCGAGCATCCCGC